ACACTGCTGAAACTGAATTCACAGAAAAAACACAAAGCAACGACTAATAGACTCCTTAATTGATTATTCACTCTTTCCTTCTGGATGTGCAGTAAAACGCTTGGTTGTCCACATTAACTCTCTACACCCTAGAGAAGATGCAGGAAATAGCTGTCAACAGGCTTCCAAGTCAACTTTAAGTGATTGCCTTTGACCAATTACAGAGCTCAGATGATTCATCCGAGGGTTCTGTGTGTTCATATGCCCGTGCTGCAGTCAATATTATTTTCATTTGATGGTGTTTGTCGTATAGAAGAACACGTGACAGAAAAACTACTTATTTTCACCCAGACATGTATTCTTATTTGCTTTCTCCATGGAGAAAGGCCATGACCGTGAGAGCAGAAAAAAGAGAGTGTCGAAAAGCTGAACGTAGGTGGCGAAAAACAAATCTCCAGGTTCACTTTGAAATTTATAAAGAGAGACTTGGCCTTTATAATTTGGAATTGAAAAACGCACGACAGTCTTTCTTCTCTGACATCATTACCAAAAACAAAAACAATGCACGTGCCTTGTTTGCTACCGTCGACAGACTAACTAACCCCCCAGTGTCAGTAGCCTCTGAATTTCTATCCACCAGGGCGTGCAATGATTTTGCCTCCTTTTTCACTGACAAAATTCAGAAAATCAGACAAGCAGTCAGTGCCTCTGTATCAGGTACAGCAAATGTGTTGTCCCTATGTCCACCTAATATCAATTCAAACACCATGACACAATTCCATCAGATTAATGATAAAAACCTAGAGGACATTATTCAACTTCTGAAATCCTCCTCCTGCTGCCTTGATATTATTCCAACAGGATTTTTTTAAGATGTTTTGCCTTGCATGGCCTCAGATCTACTTCATATAGTAAACAAATCTCTTCACTCAGGTATGTTTCCACAGGCCCTGAAAACTGCAGTCATTAAACCGCTCTTAAAAAAGAATAATCTAGATGCTTCAGTAATGAACAATTACAGGCCCATATCAAACCTGCCATTTCTAGGTAAAATCATTGAAAAAGTTGTTTTTCAACAGTTGAGTAATTTCTTGCATTTAAATAACTGTTTCGATGTGTTCCAGTCAGGCTTTCGTCCAAACCACAGCACTGAGACTGCTCTTGTAAAGGTCTTCAATGACATCCACTTAAACACAGACAGTGGCAGAACTTCAGTGTTAGTATTATTAGATCTCAGTGCTGCGTTTGACACTGTTGACCACAGCATATTACTAGACCGACTGGAAAACTGGGTGGGACTTTCAGAAACAGTTCTAAATTGGTTTGAATCCTACTTAAAGGACAGAAACAACTTTGTTTCTATAGATAAATACACATCTGAGTTGACAAATATGACATGTGGGGTACCTCAAGGCTCCATCTTGGGGCCTCTTCTCTTTAACATCTACATGCTACCACTGGCTCAGATAATGAAGAACAACAAAATAAGTTACCATAGCTATGCGGATGACACACACATTTACGTAACAATTTCACCAGGAGACTATGCTCCAATTCAAACACTGAGTAAGTGCATTGAACAAATCAATGACTGGATGTGTCAGAACTTTCTCCAATTAAACAAAGATAAAACTGAGGTAATGGTTTTTGGAGCCAAGGCAGAACATATAAAAGTTAGCGCTGAGCTTCAGTCTGCAATGTTCAAAACAACAGATAAAGCCAGAAATCTAGGTGTAGTCATGGACTCTGACCTGAGTTTCAACAGTCACATTAAAACAGTTACTAAATCAGCCTACTATCACCTAAAGAATATATCTAGGATTAAAAGACTAATGTCACAGCAGGATTTGGAAAAACTTGTCCATGCCTTTATCTTCAGTAGACTCGACTACTGCAATGGTGTCTTCACAGTTCTCACTAAAAAATCTATTAGAAAGCTGCAGCTAATTCAGAACGCTGCTGCTCGAGTCCTCACTAACACTAAGAAAGTGGATCACATCACTCCTGTTCTGAAGTCTTTACACTGGCTTCCTGTGTGTCAAAGAATATATTTCAAAAATACTGCTGCTGGTTTATAAAGCACTGAATGGTTTAGGCCCAAAATACATTTCTGACCTCCTGCTAAATTATGAACCATCCAGATCTCTCAGGTCTTCGGGGACTGGTCAGCTTTCTGTCCCCAGAGTCAGAACTAAACATGGTAAAGCAGCGTTCAGTTATTATGCTCCAAATATCTGGAACAAACTCCCAGAAACCTGCAGGTCCGCTGCAACTCTGACTACTTTTAAATCCAGACTAAAGACTTTTCTTTTTGCCGTTGCTTTTAATTGAACTATTCACATCTTAAACTGCACTGTAACTTTTATCCATGTACTTTTTCTTTTAATGTTTCTTTTATTATCTTTTCTTTTTAATGACTGATTTTAAATGCCATTTTCTTAATGTCTTTCGTTTTTTGTAAAGCACTTTGAATTGCCTTGTGTTGAAAGGTGCTATATAAATAAACTTGCCTTGCCTTGCCTTGTGTGCTTCTATTCATTGTTGCTTCAGTCTATAACCTTTTGTTATATAATTAATTTTGATGCACTTATTCGCAATTACACAGCACTCTGCCGTCTTAATGGATGCAAAGGCCATCTTTAAATGGTGTCTCTCTCTGGCTCTGTAATTGAAACTCCTACAGTGTAGGTATTAATCCCCCTTAAATAATGATACCAGATGAAGATGACAGTGTTATTACTCCAGGACAAAAATGTGTTTTTTTAATGTTTTGAGTGGTTGCAGATATTACAAATTATATTTTAAATATTTATTATGGATGGAATGAATGTTGAGAGGCATGGGAGTAGATAAGAATGGACAGACTGAGAATTAGTCGATAATGTTGGTTGAGACAAGGAGTCAGAGTAACCTGGTTTGAACTGTCCTGTGTTTTTTCAACTAAAGTTTTACCATCCTGGACTTTTTCTGTCCGTGTATTTTTCTCTGCTTTTCCCCCAGCAAGCACAAAAGAGGAAAAACAAGCACTCTAATGCATATTTTCTTGCTGCCCTTGACCGATGATGTGGGATATGTCTGGAAGGTAACCCCTTTAAATTGCAATTAGGCTACTCTTGCTAGATTCACTGACTGACAACCTGTCCTCGCCTGAAACCGTTTCAGTTTAATTCCTTAACTCAACCATAGTGAGAGTTACGCAAATCCACCATCTTGCCACTTCCTTCCCTCTCAGAGCAATGTTATGTTATGTTATCAATGTGTGCTTGATGTAAAACTGTGCAAACGTCTTGACCAGATTGCAAATGTGAAGGAGATTTCTTTATTTTATTTATTCAAAAGCTTCGGTGAATATGAGCCAATCTTATTTTGGAGAATATCACTCCTACTTTATGCAGTGATTGGACAGTGCAGCCAGTGGATGCCTTCCACTGTCTGGCTTTCACTCCATCAAATATTGACCTATTGGTGGAACTGACAAATAAGTCAGGGGACATTAACTGAAATCGTTTATCCCCTGGGATGATAACTGATGTGGCTGATAAACACAGAAAGTAATATGTCTATAATTTCAAGATGGCGCCTGTGTCGGCATGCCGGTGTTCCGGATTAACTGGTTCCCCGATCAACTGGTTGACAGATGTGGAGGCGTGGCCTTCGACTGAAATACACATTTCGATCGCTTCTTCTGTCGTTTACATAAATCTTTTGGTATATTTGGCTGGATAGGAACACTTTGATGCACATTCAGTACCAGTGTGTGAGGTTGTGGTTACAATGGCGATATCCGGACGCGAACAGCGAGGACTACAAAAATAAAAACGAGTTGACATGGGGATGTCTGTTCAAAACATTGCGAGCTCCAATAAATCATTTAAACCAGCTATTGTTGCCAGACTTATTTCTGAATATCGTTCTTAATGTGATACCAAGTCCATCTGAGACCTGTGTACACCTTCAGACAGCCTCCAAGTGAAGCACACGTTGTTTACTCACAGTTTGAAAGCAGCGTGGAGAAGTCTTCAGCTGTGTTAAATTGTGATCCGCTCGAATACATCCTTAAAACCAGCTATTGTTGCCCGACTTATCACTGAATATCGTTCCTAATGTGATACCAAGTCCATCTGAGACATGTGTACACCTTCAGACAGCCTCCCAGTGAAGCACGTTGTTTACTCAGAGTTTGAAAGCAGCGTGGAGAAGTCTTCAGCTGTGTTAAACTGTGATCCTCTCAGGTAAACTGTGATTCGCTCAGGGTCAACTGGGATCCACCCATGGGAAAATGGGATCCGCCCAGGTTAAACTGTGTTACGACTTCTGTGGCTATCTACCAGCGATCATGTTTAATATGAAAGACACACACATATACATCCCTTATAAAAACGGCATTCTGCAGCACTCATCCAGATAACATGTGACTGTTAACTCGTTTTGCAAAGATAGCAGCAGAAATGTCATTGCTGCATGTGCAGGGATATTAGACTTTAAAATGCTGATGGGTCATTAATGTTGGTGTCGGCAAACAATATTAGGAACCCTCTATTCAAACTACATAATATTCAGTGTCCATCGACATGAAAATAACAAAAGTTCATGCTGGACTCAAACCCAAGTCCCAACAGCAAAAGTCACTCCAGCCCTGCGCGTTATGAGTGCGCCACGGATCAACACGATACCACGGTAAAACTAACACTTATCACAACATAATGTGGGCTCGCAGGCTGAAAAACTAGGATATCTGATCTCGGTGGGTCTTAATGAGGCTTGATACAGACCTCAGTCAGTATACTATATTATAATATGTATATTATATGGATTAAAGTGTACATACATTCGCTCATATTATAAATGATGGTCGGGTTGCATTTTTCTGGAACTTTTTAACAAGGTTAATCTAAAATATTATAGAGTGGTGGTTCGATACGTCGTGTTGATCCGTGGCACACTCATAACGCGCAGGGCTGGAGTGACTTTTGCTGTTGGGACTCGGGTTTGAGCCTAATAAATGCCACCACAATGTCTGAGCTGGATGAAGTTGTCACCAGTGCTGTGGTGGTGTTCTCCAGCTCCCACAGTGACAGAAATGTTGGAAAACATTTTGAAAATCTCCAAGGACTACTGACAAATTCAGCGCAGTCAAACTTGGACGATTCAACCATTGTGGAAGACTGTGTGGTATGTAATAATTATGTGAATGTTGGAAGTTGTTTCATAGCTCAAAAATATCATTACAAATTATTTGTTTACCTTCAAGTACAACACAGCACAGAAAAGAGGACAGAGGCAGTGTGACCAGAAACAATGACAAATATTAACATGTTTTACATATTTTTCTATTACCCCAAGCTCAATGCAATGCAACTAAAGTTATCTGTGGATTGTTTTTTCTAGACTGATATCGGACCTACGCCCTTCAAACAGCATTTTGAGGACTTAATAACCCAAACAGTTATTGAGAAATCTGGTGATGACAACATGTACTTCTGCCCGACTTTCATCCCTTCCTTGCTTAAGTACTTTCTGCCCCTGGCTGGTCTGTGGTCTGGCCTACTCTTGGGTAAGTTTTATTTTGCACGTCTTTCTATAGCTACTTGTTAATGTATGTAATATAAAATAATAAGGCATGTTTACTGTTTGGTCAGGTGACCTTGGAACAGGGACCATTTATCAGAAACTTTCCCAGAAGTACAAAAATGCTGCAAAAAAACCCACACAGGTACAAAAACCTAAAGCTTTGATGTAATATTGAATTTCAATGCATTATTCTATAATCAATATTATAAACTGCAATGTAAACAGTATGTAATCCAAGTGATTGTTAACAATATCATTTGATGTACCGTAACTAATATGTTCAACCGCAGAATTACACAGAGGACAACAAAACTCGAGGGATAATGGAAAAAAGCCAGTGGGACCTCAAAAAGATCCGTTTTCAACGGAGACGTCTGACCAGGCTGGACGATTTTGTACATACATACAAAGTCACCTTGAGCACCCTGCTAAGGGAATATGGCGACTCTCTGAGGAGGGGGAAGAAGGTACAGTTTGTTATTTATATATGGCTGTTATGTTATCACATTTGTCCCTAGTCATTAAGCATTGCTATCGATTATGTTAGGAAAATATCACTCGCCACTGGCTTGAGTTTCAATAATCAGGATACATGTATTTATTATCCTTGCAAGAATGGAAGTATTCATCACGTACAGAGCATTTGGTACAAATAGTTCACAGAGCAGTGTTCTTCACAAGCTTTATATATAAGAGACTTGTAGACAGACTTTTTACACCGTCACAAGATAGAGGAATACCGGTTCAAAGCAGTATACAATGTTTAGTTCAGATTAGCTAAGGCTCACGACAGAAATGAGCATGCTTGTCATATGTCTATCTCCATAGAGGCTGAATCTTCATGTTAATCACATAGCTATCATCTGCCTCAAACAGTCCTGATTCTCTTCTAGGTAATCACACATCCTGTTACGTACACAGCTACTTAGGGTCTTTGTCATCATGTGCTACTCTGATATTCAAAGAGTACATTCAATATTTTCCCAACAGTTATTCTGCAGGTAATTTGGTCATTATTAACAGTTATATTAGGTGTGCTAATAATATCACAATAATATTGATACACCAATCAAAACTGTGATGCAACTATGCTGAATGTAGTTGGTTTCATAATTTTGATGAATAATAATTAATGAAATAATACATTTATTTCAGGCAAAGATAATGTTTGTTGTGAAAAGAAAACATTGAATAATGTGAAATGGCAGAATATGTAATGAAAGGTAATTCACGAGTGCATTTACTCTGTCAATATTCCTTATTAACTGCAGACCCATCGGGTGGACATGGAGCGATGGGAACAAAGAAAGCAGAACAGGCGAGGAGTTTATGTGACACCCATAAACAAGCCTTTTGTTTTCAGACAGCACAAGAAGAATGTATGTATTTTTTGAGAGCAAACCATTGTTATCCTGTTTGTTGAAAATAACATAAATGTTATAATATTTGTGTTATTAACACTTTTATCAGCTCATGCAGAAGACAAAAACAGCAAAAGCTCCAGCTCCACTACAAAAACAAGCGCCAGGTGAAACGGAAGCACATATTCCATCACAGGTAATCCCATTTAGCATGGTTAAACAAAGCCAGGAAGCATTTGAAACACATACATCTAAACCAGCTTGGAATCTACAGCTTAATGATGCATTTTCTATTAGTATACTGTAGGTAATGATAGAAGAATTGAAGATTCAAATTGTGTGATGAAGTGATTAACTATGACATGCACTTAACAACACATATTGGACAATGTGAAAGGCAATGTTGATGTTTCGGCTTCTATACAGGATCCAAAAGACAAGACAAGGTCAATCTTCATCCACATCAGACATGACGGAGCATCCTGAGGATGACGCACAGGGAGGTAAAGTGGATGCTTCATCAGAGGTAAGAAACTGTAAGGACACATCATCAGGGAGTTCATCAAATAGTAAAATAATTGATTAACTAAAAAGTTAAAATGCAGATTTTAATGTTTAAGGAATGCTAAAGGAACGTTATAAAATAATACCTTTCCATTTACAATGTGTATCTCATGCTCTGTTAACAATCTAGCTTTGGGACATAAAAATGATATAGTATTTTTTTTGTGACCCCCAGCTGACCGCGTTGTGGGAAAAAAAGGACACTGAGGTGGAGGTGTCTTTAGTCCCCACTCAAATAAGAGGCAACAGTTTTACCATCCGTCACTCTGACATGCGGACCCTCAGACCACACCAGTGGCTGACAGGCGAGGTATTTCATCCATAGGACAGAACCAGTGCTCATACCAAGTCTCTTCACTACACATGAATCCAATATTCATGAAACGCTAGCTTCATGGCACACCACTGAAGTCTTGTTAGCACCCAAAGCCTAAAATGTATTAAACTGTTTTTAAAAGTGAATCTTAAAAGGCATCCACAGTTGAATATTTAACTTTTATTGTACACTAGAAGAAGTAGTCAAATGTGGTCATTCACTGTTATAATTTTCTGTTTTTATCAACGAAACTTAACACCTGTCAACTACATTATTATTTAATATAATTGTATTTCTTATTAATGTCTGCTTGTCGACATTCTCTCCAGATCATCGAGTGTCTTTTCCATATACATGCACATACATGCACATACATGCACATACATGCACATACATGCACATACATGCACATACATGCACATACATGCACATACATGCACATACATGCACACTGGGGACGAGGATTTATATTCTCAACCACTACTCAGCTGGTGTGATCCTCCACTTTGTCAAAGGTAACTTGTGTTTCTATTGAGGATAACTACAAAGGTTTTCATTATGTATTTGTCTAAATAGAAAACATACTCTATCAAGCTATTTGACTCTACTGTATAAAGAAAACAAATACAGCCTGATGGGAAATGGAAGTTGTTTTGTTCTTATGTATTACAGATACACTTTGACAGCTATGGAGCCATTGTGTCCTTTGTACATGTAGACGGTGTACACTGGACATTTCTGGTTAGTGGTGTCTATATCATATAATTGTATATTTCTTGATCAGCTACGTTTTTGGAGATGTTGTGTTTATTTCAAAAATATATATTTATTTTTCTGTGTCCACAGTACATCAATGCTGAAGAAAGCACAGTGTATTTGGCAGATCCTGCACGCAACTCTGCAGAGCAGGCAGAGTCAGACAATGCTGCCAACAAATGCAGGTACTAACTAACAATTTCACCTATTTTTCAAAAATATTTATTTCATTCTATTCCCTCATATATAATGTTTATATTTATTGTTATATTTATGTGGGAATAGATGGATCAGCTATATTGCCACAACCAGCCCTTTTGTTTTTTTTATGGTATGTGCTACTACACCAGAACATATAATGTGTGAAAAATGTGTGCATGTTTGACTTTGGTCCATACCGATGATACCATAACACCCAACCCACTGAATAAACAACCTGTCCTTAGAGTGAACAATTGTCAATTCATTTTGACATCAGACTACTGTAGGTGTCTGCATGTTACATCTTAAAATATACATTTGGGAAACATGCATTAACATCACTTCAAATGGTGTTACTCGACTGCTGAGACACAGTGTGACAAGGATTTATGTTATTATGCGAGTATTGTATTTTTACAGTATGCATTGTACATTAATAATATATCTTATCTCACGCAGTGATTACTTCAAAATGAGGAGGACCTGCTGCAGTAAGACAGACTGGGTAGACATAAAATGGAAGGGAGGAGTAATGAAACACCCAGTACAGCAGGATGGCAATAGCTGTGGGGTAGTTGTCTGCATGGTAAGTGGAATATTTATTTTCATATATGCTTTTTGCTAATATAACATTCATTCAGCTTTTAGGATTAAGTCTGTTTTACTGCCTTTCACAGAAACACATTTGAGGTAGTTGGATAGTTATTTTAAGAACATGGTGTATCACTTTAAGATGGCAAAGGAGGTCATGGAAGTCTTTCCTAAAACACCAACAATGGCGTTTGGGACCACACAAAAGGAGATGGCGCATCACAGAAAAGTGTTGGCCATGGAAATACTGACAGCATCAGGTGCGTGCTACTTTTTCAAAATATCAATTCAATTGTGATATTGTTGTACTTGAGATGTAACATTAGCATTTTCTTTTCATCAGTGTTTGACAAAGAACTCAACTGTGCCATGTGCGCCGGCATAAACCACCCGGCTCAATGTCACATCACACCCACACTGACTGGGTAAGGTTTAATGAATATTGAGACTTCAGATATTTCACAATTTAGATTTGTAGAAAAGCATTAAATGAAAGCAGTAACTAAATACAAACACTTGAGGGATGCAGTTGACCATTGCTCAAAGCTGTTATAAGCAGGGCTTTACTCTCATTTGTCTCCTTCTATTGCAGATTCAGTGTGACAGCTGTTTCCGGTGGTGCCACACACAGTGCCTGCATATGGACCAAAAGTCTCTTGAAGAGGCACAAGTTGGGGACTGGGTTTGCTCTCTGTGTGACAAATAATGTTTGTGCATGAACATGCGGTTGCTGTATGTCCTATATTAACAACAAAAGGCACCGGCTGGGGACTGGGACTCCAGACTTTTCCAAAAAGCAGGGGATATGGTTGCTGTGAAATAGTTTTCATTTATATGCTCAATTTGATATATTTAGAATATATATTTGAGATTTGTTTAACTAAGAAGTGACCATTGAATAAATATTGCAAAACAAAGCCTATATCACATGGTAGCCAGTGTGAATTGTTTCCTACATTACAAGATTTCGATTTTCTATAGTACAAATCTGGGCCATTTGTTGTATAATTTCTCCAAACACATACAGTACAAATGCCTGTTTTGGAGTCTTCAAAAGGTTAGGTAGAAGAAGGACTTTACATTTAGTTAAAGACAGGATAATATAAGGTGTTGTGATCATGGGGAATGAGCCTTGTACAGGGAAAGTATGCTGGAGGCTGAAGACGTTGACTGGGACTGATGGATTGATGAGGCTGATGAGACTGAAGAATCTGCAAGGAAAGAACTAGGGGCAGAGAAATAATATATTATACATATATTAAAAGACATGCAGTGTCATAAGAGGCCAACAAGAGTGACAAGGGTGTGTCACTGTGCTGAAGGAAAGTTGTGAACAGCTATCCAGGCCAGTCTCTAAAGACTTTCCAAAGTGTAACAATGCTGTTGCTGGAGTACTGATCTAGTGGATCTAGTGTTCATATCATGTGTTTACCATATCCTGTTAAAATACTCTGTCCAACATAGTCAGTATTGTGAAGAACATTTTTCTAACGCTTATTATATATCAGAAACATGTTTATTACCAGGTAGGTTTACACGTACGAGGAATTTGACGTGGTAAAAAAAGAATACATTATTGTACTCTGGAAGGGAGTTCAATCATTTTATCTCTCATCAAAGATGGCAGA